AATAGAAAAACAATTTGAATGACATCAGAAATATAGTAAAACTAGAATGATGGCAGACTATAGTAAGAGAATGTTTATACTGGAGTTATTCCACTTCTTATGAATACCTGAGTGTAATTTCTGTTAAAATACAATTTTCTTTGTTTTTTTGGGGGGTTGGTTGGTTTTTTTTTTCACTATTGAAGTTAAAAATAAATTTACTGAAAAGTTTATTTTCAATCTTGCACCAAGTTAACTTTTTTCCTCAGAATTTAGACTATCACTGGCTAGCTTAAATATCTGTGACTAGAATTACTTAAACGGAAGCTGGTTTTATACACTTTTTTCATGGTGATGTTTTTCTTTTAATCACATTTTATTGTGTTACATTTAAAAATTACTCTGATTTAAAATATTTGTTATTACTTTTCTTAAAAGCACAGTTATTGGAAGAGAAGATGATAGCTACCACAACATAATAAACTATTCTGGGATGTAGTTGGGGACTCTGCCACTTTTTCTGTTGAAGCTGAACCACCACACCTATATATTTAAGATTTATAGGGCTAGAAATACATTATCAGAAAGAAGCTTAATAGTAGTTCTGTTAGGATAGAATTGTAGGAATGAAGCAGAGTGGGAAAGTTGTGTTCCCAGCTATGTTCTGTATGTTTTGTCTAGCAGATGTTCAATACAAAAGTAGTCTCTGTAGTAAAGATAAGAGTAAAGGTCTTTCCCATGCTGATGAATGCTTCAGTGGTTAGCTACAGGTGGGGTTCTATCTGTATTTGCTTGTCATTACTTTTCTCTGACCCAGTGAATCTTGTTACACAATGTGACGATTCAGAAGAGCACTGCATCCCAGCCTAACCTCTAGCTCAGGGCTTAGAAGCATTTCTTGAAAGGTGAGAGGTAAGAGTTTGAATGCTTTTTAGGTTGAGAAGTGTGATTAACTAACATCTCTTTTTAGACAACCGAATACGCACTTGCTAGATTCTACTGAAGTTGCACAACTGCTTCATAGCATTTTTTGAAAGAAAGGTATGAGCCAAATGGTTGATTTAGGAACTGTGTGGAAGAGCATAAATTACTAGAATAACTGGGTTTCACAAACATTGGATTTGTCTTAAAAAAAACAGTGGAATATTATCACACCTATTTTACAGAGAGGAATTGGGACATAGAGATTAAGCCAAAAATGAATGTTCTCCTCCCCAAATTAAACTGAGAACCTGGAATGGAAAACTAATTTTTATTGGATAAGTTTGGCAAAGTTCTGTAAACCACTAGATTATGATGGAAAATTTTCAGCTTCACTAACCATCTCTCTCTGTGATATGTTCTCTTGGTTAAAACATGGAGCCATGTTTCTTCTTGGCTCAGAAATTATTGGAAGGCATTGTAAATCTGTGATTCAGAGCATTTTGTGGTCTTGACTCTTGCTGTCCTTGACTTTGCCTCTTCTTTGTGCCTACTTCCATGAAAGGGAGGGAGGAGAGTAGGCTTGAGGAGGAAAAGTGACAGTAAGGCAATTTGAGGTTAGAAAGAGAAAAGATGGTGAGTGATAGAAAACATAGTCCTGTCTGCTGCCTGTACCTCTCTGCCAAAGACTGGTCTTAGTATATGCAGAAGAGCTGATGCAGGCATCCAAAAACTTGCAATTGCAGACTAATTAGCTTGTGAAGGGAAATAATTGCTTGCAATAGGAGTTTCGTAAATCTATTTTACTAGCTCCCCATGTGTCAGTTGTGTGGAGTCCAGAGGACCTATGCTATATACCAAACACCTGAATTTTAGAGTTGATTTTATTCTCTCCAGTATTTTCCTCATTCAGTTCTATTTTGTTTAAGTTCTTGTATCTGACAAAGTTCTGTGGTGTGTTAAGAAACATGACGTATTTGTCCTGTTTTGGTCATTCCCACAGTTCCAAAGGGGATGGACATGTGTACAATAGCTGTGAGGAATACGATTTGAATCTTTCATGATACAAACATCTAAAAAGTGTCATGGCATTACTGAGTATTGTGATACTATTGAACCATTTTGACAAGAGGTCCACAGGATTTTGGGGGGCTGTTTGGTAAGAATGATTTCTCTGTTTTCACGAATACTCTCTTCAGTCAGTTAGATGCAGAGGAGCATCCTGTTCTGGAGACTGCAGCGCAGCTTGTAATGCTTCTTGCTCTCCTCTCACTCAGCATATTCCTTTCCTTTCTGGAGTCCCCCTGGAATATGGACTTCTACAGCATCTCATCTCTCATTTCCTTGAGGCTTGCAGATTCCCATTAATTATGTGAGCATGACTGCTGTAGTCTGCCCTGGCGCTGTGGTGGTGGTAGTGGTGATGTACAACCCGACTGCAGTCTTTACACCTCATCCTTGCTGGAGTAAAAAGGTCATTGCTAGCACACACTGCTCTCAGAAGGAAGTCCTGTGGGAAGTCTGGACAGTAGGGCCAGGTAATATACAGTGTGACAAAGCTTGGCTATGAAGAAGAGAGCACAATGTTAGAGGTACTGAGTTAACACACAGGTGTCAGCATCTGATAATTTTGATACCATTTGAGTCATGGTACAGTATCATCAGAGTGAAGAATGGAGAGCTAGTATGGAAGGAGGAGAACGGATGGATGTAGCCCTATAAAATAAGGGAAATTTTGAAGGGTACTATTACGTTAGAACTCTGAAACCTTCTCTGTTTAAGCCTAATTACTCGGCAAAACTGTAATCTGTTTAGGTGTGAAGTAAATAACAAACACTACCTTTTAATATTTTATGTCAATAAAGAGGAATCTTATGACTAACTGGAGGTATTTACAAATAGCAATTGTGGCGTTTCTGTATGGAAACAACAAGAACATGAGTAGTCCTGTGCACAGACTGAATTTACTAATTATGGTCTTGTACTTTCCACCAGAGAAAATAATTTCACATCTACAGATACATCAGAATGCATTCTTTTGTGTCATTATATCACTTTTATCTTGTTTGGGTTCCCCTTACCTATCTGTTCCCTTGTGAACTGATCATGTCCTAAGTAGTATAAGTCACAGTAGCTGTGGTACGGCCATATGTTTTAAGACAAAAAAAATTTACTGCTTTTATATTACTAGCAATCAAATACTCATTATTATGACTAGTTTCCTGAGATGTTTAAAAAGTAGGGAGGAGGGGTCTTACTTTTTAAGGCAGAATTTCCAATTAAGAAGTGTTTGCTTGTAAGAAGGATGCAGTGACTTTAACACGTTACTGGGGATTCTGCTACTTTCCCAGTTAGTATGGCAATATCTGTGTGTAATGCAACAAAAGATCCAGAGGTTAAAAACGAATACCTATGTTTCTGTCTGTTTTTAGGTACTTCATTTATGCCAGTAGATGGTTTTAATTCCATATCCTGGACTGAATCCAGAATATATGAGGTATATAAACTGGATGCAATTAAGTAGATTTACAGTTGGCCTCTTGGTTTGCCTCTCAGTGAGTATGGTCATGAATGGAATATTTGACACTGAGGACTATCCAGTGTTTCTTCAGTGCTAGTTTGGACTAGAGAATCTTTGGAGTTGGTCAGTAAGATTTGTTTTCTGAGTGAGGCATTAAGTGTTTTTCAGGACCTACATTGGTCCATGAATCTTTTCATAAATTGGGAAGACTGTCAATTCAGTCCACAAGTTTTTGGGACATATATCTTGTAGCAGTTTGCTGTCTGCTGTCAGCTGCCTTGAGTCTGAATGATTAAACTCATTTTAGGGTACTATCAACAAAAAACTTAAGACAGGTCACAGAGTAATACATTGTTGTAATAGTGCCTATGCACAGTTTGGTTTGGTTTATGTTAGGCTGTGCTCTGAATTCTGTGTTCATAGTCTTAGCTGCAGAGATTTAGTAAAGGCAATGAAACATTTTAAATTTTTACTGAAACTGTAAAGTTTGGATTAGCATCTTTGACTATCTTTTGCATGCTTTACAATTTATTCTTTCAAGATACACATTTTATTTATAATGTACCAAATAAGTCTGCATATTTTCTTCTAAATGTTATGTGTCTTTTCTGATATGCCTTGTGTATGAATACTGTCTGACTGTATCCTGCAAATAATTGTTATTTTTACTATAGTAAGTAAAGTAAAGTAAAAGGCATAGTCTAAAAGCACATAGTCTAAAACAATCCTATGTGCCTGCATGTGACACTCACAAGTGTTTCTTATGTGGAGGACCTATACTAAAGGATGTATTTTAAAACATTTTCTGTTTTGTTTATGTAAGATAATGCTAATTTAATATCACAATCCAACTGTTTTCATAGTATCAGTATGTCTATGACTTTCACTGAATTTTGGATTGGTTTCTTAATGCAGTTTTGCATTGGCACTTTTTCATTATTTGAGGCTGTACCAATAAGAATATAATTATTTTGCTACTAAATTTAATTCACTCCTTGGAAAGCACTTTTCCCTTTTTCCTTTGAGAAGCAAAGGCAGGCAGTATGCTTTTTCTCATTGATGATACCCGCATCACTCATAATATTATTGATTTGTTATTTAATTCTGTGCTGTTCAGTTAAAAATTGCAAAGACCTATGTAGAAACTGAAAAAAATTACTTAGAATAGCAACAAACATAAGAGTTTTCAAATTTAGAAACCAAGGTTTTAGGTTCTACATATTTCTACTTAAAAGAAAGAGTTAAAATTCTGAAGAATACACTTAAAAATATATTTTTAGAGGGTCATTTTTACCTGCTTACTTGAAATATACCTAATGTTTAGTTATTTAAGGGGAAAAGATTGCATTACTCTTTCTAATTTTTTTTTTCATTTGAGTTAACATAAGCATTTGCTAAATTGTCCTGAATTATAGAAATCAATTCTAAGATGTGGATGACTTTTATATCTGTTTAGCTATTATGAAAATTTTCTAACTTCTTTGTAGGCTGAATCTTTAGTCCTCCTATACTATAACTTAGTACTGCTGGAAAGTGATATATTTCTTTAAAGTGAAAATATAATCTCATTGTTTTTTAGGCTTACATATATGAAATGTCTTCAAGCACTTTTTCACACAAACTAGGGGGACACACAGAATCTGTCATCAGTGTGACTTTTAGTCCCTCATCTCCACAGGTAAGTCATTGCTTTTTTTCCTCTTTGTAATTAAAATATGTAAAATCTTCACTGTAAGCTTGCTTTTTACTACTCTTCTATTTACCTGCCAATATGCTGTGCAGCCGTAAGGCTGTTCATCTACTTCCAACTATAGTGTGGTTATTGTGTCAATTATAAACTCATGCAAAATGTTGCATGCTACAGAGACAAACGCTCTGACTAACTGCCTACAAGGAAGAGTTCTGGCATGGGAACTATTGCAAACCTGTACTTGCTGAATGTTGGGAAAATGTACATCCACCTCAAATAACCTGAGTAGACTACTCCTAATCCAGAGAATTTAAGAGAGGAATAAGTAGGGGCAGGGAAACTGGAAGGGGCTCAGGCCTGCCGTGATTACTCAAAGGCCTGAAAGATTTAAAAAGCAATGTTATTTTAAATGTGCTGTGTCAGAATAAATAGTGAAATAGCTTTATCACAATGTTTTGAAAAACTATTACTGTTGTGTTTTGAGCCTTTCAGATATTTATAGGTAAAAAGTACTCTGAAGAATTTAGGCATTAGGCAATGACAGTTCCTATTTTTTTACTGATCATTAATACTATGCTGTGTTAACAGCATTATATTTCAATGTAATGGTTTGATTATAGTGCAGCAATATATACACAAGAGTCTGTTGTCTAAGTTTTATCTTGAAACCAGAACTTCCCTACAGCTAGTTTATCACGTGAATTCTTTGTACGCTGTTTCGAATCCTATAGGCTTACCTTCTTTGTTTTCATGTATTGAAACTGCAAAGAAGCTTTCTACTTTCTGTAGAAAGTAGACCATTGACAACAATGGTGCTACTACGAAAAAATATTTATGGAGTAAGTATAATTTCTTTACATGTGGGAGTATTGCCATATTTACATATCTCCTTCCCTTTGTAAATAAAGATGCTAGCATTTCTGTGATTTTAGAATTTCTGGAAGTTTTATTCCTTGTGTATATGTTGTCTGAACTGAGAAATTGTTAATTGCTATCTTGTGGTGAGCATTATGTATTTCTGCTTTTTGGATTCAGCAATGCTATATTCAACCAAATTGGTATAGTTTATTAAATTTTGCACCTGTATAAAGACTAGTTTCAGCTTTAGCACTGAACACAGTTCTGCAAAAAAGATGTTATATACTGAAGAATAGAGCTGACTGTAGTCTTGCAGCATCCTGATCTGTGGTCCAGCTGTTGGAATGCATTTTGGTGGAAAATGTCTTATTAGAGTTTAACTGTTAGAAGTTTAGAGGCTCAGTTGCAATAATACTATGAATCAAGACTTCGAAGTAACTAAGTTCAGGCAAATCAGTTGTTGATCAGAGGGGCAGAATCTATAAGCGGTGTGAAATAAACTTTGGCTGTGGATCCAAGCCAGACTGGTCTAACTCTGAAAGTGTGCCTTGGGGCACAAAGCCTTTAATACTGAACTTTATGAAACATCACACAGTCAATTTAGTATTATGGTTAAGAGCCAAATCTGATGTTCAAGGACCAGAAACACTTTTCTTGAAGAGCTCTTTCCTGAGAAGCAAGAGCTGTGGATTTGAACCAGCTTACAAATTTTCCCATAGATATGGTTCCGGGGGAAGATTTTGAAGCTGTTGTTATCAGGAACACTTTACTAAAAAGCAAGGAATGTGCAGAAACTGCTTCTTTGAAGGATTACAGCTGAAATGTAAATTCTGTTAACCAAGTCGTTCTGTATAATAAGCACTCTGAAATGCTTTCTAAGTAAGTATTTTTGGGGGAGTTGCAGAACCAAAAGAAAATAATCACCTGGGCTTTCCAACATAGGATTTAGCATGAAGTTACATTCAAAGGCACTAGGAGAAGGCACTAGGAGAAGCAGCTAAAAAATGCAATGGTAAGCTTGTAGAGTGGAAAAGAAGAAAACCACAAATGAATCAGAAAAGAGTAATCCCATGCTTTGAAAGAAAGACTTTGTATTAGGCAGACAGAGTTTCCAGCACTGGAAGATTTTTATACCTACAGCTACCACTAGTTAGGGATTTAAAATTGACGCTACTCTTGTTTCATCCAAAGTCTGAATGAATACAGTTAAGAATTGTATTGGGTTCTGAATAACCTCTGCACAAAGCCCCATTGCATTCAAAGGGAAACACTGGCAGGGGAAGGAGTAAGGGGTGAAAAAAGGGAAGTGGCTGATGAAATTCGAACATTATGGCTAAGCTTTCTGCTGTGGAAAGATCCAGCCAAGAGTGAGGTGTACTGACAGCACTCCAGTTCAGTGGTTGCTTGCCCAGCACCTGTCCATGAGGTAGTTTGTTCCAACTGTTATTATAACTCTCACTTGCATAAACGTTCTTCCAGAAAAGAGGGAAAAACCCTGGATGGGTATAATAGTAATGATTTTACTGATGGGGGGCATTGTTGCTTTCATGATATGGTACTCTTGAATGATTTATAAAATAGTTGCTATGAAAGCTGGAGAAGGGGAATAAGATAGAAGCTTTGCATTTATCTTAGGTTTAGTTTCAAGATGATTTCTCTGGTTTAGCTTCTCATTGTCACTTCCTTGATTTTCACTCATTGTTCAAAACTTATGTAATGAAAAGTTTATCTTATCAAAAATATTAATTGAATTTCAATCTATTTTAGGGAATATACATTAAGGGATATTATAGTGTTTAACTGTAATAACTATAACTATTAACTGTAACACATTTGAGTCAATCTAAGTTAAAATAATGTGGGAAGCTTTTCTTCCAAATATGGGAACAATAAATCATGTCTCTCTGAAATGTTTTTGAAGCAGGATAAAAGCAAATGGGGACACTATTGTCATCTGCTGGTTTTTGGTGGCTTTTGTGTAGTTGAGTGTTGGTTTTGTCTATGTACAAGCTGGGTGAACAGTGTGTGGCAAAACCATCTGAGTACACTCTAGCATATTATTGTCCTCATCGGTAGCTGCTTTAAAAAAAAAAAAATGCAGAGAAGAAGAAAAGAAGCTCCAAGCTCTGAGCCAATATACTGTGCTGGAAGTTAGTTTTTCATGACAGAATCATGACTTTGAAATCAGTATGCATTGCTACCACCCTACTGATATACTGAGAGGTAGCTTCGAGAGAGAGAAAGCCCACCCACCCCAAACTACACTTTAATAGAACAAGCCCTGAGCAACCTGATCTGAGTTCAGCATTGACCTTATTTTGTGTAGAAGGTTGGATGAGATGATTTCCTGACGTCCTCAGAAGGCTACCTGTCTGAAATACACAGATATTTAAACACATGCTCAATAAGTCAATGAAGGGCATTTGATGAAAAATTATCAAAAATAGAATTTGCATTGGATGAAATATGGCAAATCTGTTCTATTCTCTTTGGCTATAGGTTTAAAAGAAGTAAATATATGACAGTTTGATGTGACCACCTGACTGATACATTGAGAGATAGCTTCAAGAGAAAAAAAACAAACCAAAACTAGACTATAATGGAAAAAGTCCTCAGCAACCTGGTCTGAGTTCAGTGTTGACCTTACTTAGAGTCGGTTCGATGATAAGATTTCCTGCAGTCCCAACAAAATGAATTATTCTCTTATTTTGTGATAGTGCATATTCTCCAGAAATCTCTTGTCACTGAAGGCATAGTAATTTAAAATTGCCATGTAGAAAACATTAATATCTTTTGATTACCACATAAGTTCAACTTGTGGCCTGTTTATCAGTAAAATATCTAATTTACAAGTGTGGAAGGTATTAATTGAAATTGTTACTCAATAGAATGTTTTTGCATTAATTTATGTCTGATTTTATATTTAGAAGTACAGCTATATTTCAAATAACATTAGTTTCAGGTATTATTATATTGTGGCACGCTTAGGTTAGATAATAACTGACAGTAAGTGCATTACTTGGCAGCTGGAGAAAGTTAAATGAATAGTAGAGATCTGGAAATCTCTTTCACAGCTAGATTTTCATGGGAGCCACTGAAAATTTCATATTGATTTTCTGCTGACCGGCTTGAAGGGAGACATATTTAATGTTCCCAGTAAGGATATTTGCTTGTGGGTCTCTCAGATAGTAATACAATTTAGCACTAAAGCCACCACTTTAGTCAGAATTGGCTACAGGTGGTTTTGGATGTGTCTGGAAATATGAGTTATCGTCTTTTACTAGCTACTAACAAAGTATGCTTTTCCTGGTGGTCACATCTGGAGATTTCACTTTAAAACAACTTGTATGAAAACTCCATTCCTTTGTGATTTTCGTTCACCATTAATGGTTCACTTAATCATAAAATTTTCCACAATGGAGGTAGCTTTTGTAGTGATATGGAAAGCTCTTTTTCAGACTTTAATTTGCCAAGTTTTGGCTTTAGTGTTGAATCAGTCTTGTCTCATCCCTATGTAGGGCACGTTTTTTCCAGTACGATATTCTTCCTTAGGACTCAGGACTATCTTGTTGCAGACTAAATCATGTGGATTTAAAACCTGTGACCAGCTTGACGTCTAATATGATCTCACTGAAGTCAGGAAAGTTCTTTCACATGGTTCTTTTGACCCTGCTGCTTGCCCCAGTCAATCCCAATTACTCCCTTTCATAATCCACAAATACATCAAAACAAGAGGTAAATGGAATTTGGTAATTTTTATTTTTCTTTCTTCTGTAATTTTGTCTCTGAGAGGCATAAGCAGCCAGCTGTCAGCTTTTCTGATCTTCCATTCCAGGAGATCAAATTCAAAGGCTAGAAAATCCCATCAAATTCTAAAAACTCTAGTTTTTCTTTTGCTTTTCTGAACTGGATTTTAAAGTTTTGAATTCTGCTGGAAGACTAGAGTAACTTTCAAAAATTAGGTTTTAAAAAGTTTTCTATAGACTTTTTTTGAAAAATTATTTGGTAGAATCCTTTGTCTTATTTATGGCCCGTGGATGGAACAACCTTTATACTCATGAAAGAAGTAGAAGCAGAAGATGGAAAGTAAGCTAGCTTGGACATCTAAGGGGAAGCTGTAGTCATGTCAG